TATTCCATTTTTTAATTTAAAAAACGTGCCGCGTGATCTGTTCACATTCCTCACTCCGCTAATTACAAACACAAAATGTCGGATTAACTGAATCAAAATTGTTCTCGAATCGTGCAGGCGAAATTCGTCGATATTAATTCACGTCATAGTTGTTTTATTTCGAATGCTGCGCATGCGAGACAAAAGTCAGAATGTGAATTAATCGGGGATCCCTAACGAGAACGAGTCCTTGGGTACCTGCGGTCACTCCACGGGCACTCGTCACACATCTCCGAGAAGTCGTCGGGAGAGACGAACCGGCGTGACGACTATTTCCCCCCCTGGTCACAGGGTGAGCGTGACCCACCCTGCAGCGAGGACCAGTATGTAATGAGTGGAGAAGGTGCGTGATCTCCTCGTGTCCGGGGAATACGCGTGATGTATGGTTATGATTCAGGGGCATGTAAACGCGTCTTCCAGGGAATCATCTCTCTGCATTCTCTTTTTAATCTGCATTGATCCGAGTTTGATGGGATCTCGTGATGAAGTTGAAGTGAGTGTTGAAGATTTAATCATTATTATGAAGTTTATGCAATAATTGGGGATTCATTTTGATGTTAGACACTCGAGGGAACGAATTTCAATCGAAAAAACTCGTTATTTGACTTTTTCTCGTTTGTTTCGTCATTTCTTTTTTTGTTAAAATGAATAAAATGAATGCTCATGAATTTATTCTAATGAAAATGTTTCCTCTGGGTGAAATTCAAATAAAACCGCTAGATAAAAATGTAAAACGAAATTTCTGAGGTAAAAAAATAAGCAAAAAATACTGTAAAAATGACATTTGCAGCTGGAGATATCGCAAAAAGGCGTTGAGTGCTCTCGAGAAATAAAATGAAACGTCGGCTAAGGGATGTTATACACTCGAGGGAACGAATTTGAATCAAAAAAACTCGTTATTTGACTTTTTCTCGTTTGTTTCGTCATTTCTTTTTTTGTTAAAATCAATAAAATGAATACTCATGAATTTATTCTAATGAAAATGTTTCCTCTGGGTGAAATTCAAATAAAACCGCTAGATAAAAATGTGAAACGAAATTTCTGAGGTAAAAAATGAGTAAAAAATACTGCAAAAATGACATTGGCAGTTAGAGATATCACAAAAAAGTGTTGAGTGCTCTCGAGAAATAAAATGAAACGTCGGCTGAGGGATGTTATACACTCGAGTGAACGAATTGGAATCGAACAAAACTCGTTATTTGATTTTTTCTCGTTTGTTTCGTCATTTCTTTTTTTGTTAAAATGAATTAAATGAATGCTCATGAATTTATTCTAACGGAAATGTTTCCTCTGGGTGAAATTCAAATAAAACCGCTAGATAAAAATGTGAAACGAAATTTCTGAGGTAAAAAAATAAGCAAAAAATACTGCAAAAATGACATTTGCAGCTGGAGATATCGCAAAAAAGCGTTGGATGCTCTCGAGAAATAAAATGAAACGTCGGCTGAGGGACGTGATTTTCCCCGAAGCTCTTAGCGGGTTCAACTCTTCCCAAGGAAAGAAACACGGAGAGGATGAGCGAATGAACTCGGTAAAGTGGAGGGTCTCGAAATGGCCAAGATAAGCCTTTGTGCCCGATGGACTCCTCTCTCACATCCCCGCACACGGTTGTCTCACATTTCGCGACGTGCGGCATCATATTTAACGTAAAATTTCCATCTCACCCTCAGGGGGCAATATTCTTTTCATCCTCGCACATACTTGAGGGAGTCCTCTTCCTGTATTTAACTGAACAATAACTTTAGCTGCCGAAGGTGATCGTTCATGCATGCTGGACGGAGAGAAGTTTCTTTGAAAATTGGGTTGCAGAAATTTAGATAGAATATTAAATGGAACAATTTCATAGTAACACTTCCTGTTGAAATTTTTGTGAATTATTTACGTCAAATACTCTAATTTTGACAAAAATGATTCAATTTTCCACTGAATTTATAGGAAAAATTAGATTGCAGGAATTTTTATCTAGAATTTTATGATTTCCATCTGCATTTTGAATATAAAAATTGGATATTAACGCTTTTTAATGACGTTTTTGTTAATTTTTCACCTCAAATAGTCTAATTTTGACAAAAATTATTTAACTTTCTTCTAAATTTTTAGGAAAAATTCGATTGTAGGAATTTTTATCTGGAATATTATAATTTCCATTTGGATATTAAATATAAAAATTTAATACTAATACTTTCTATTGATATTTTTGTCAATTTTTTACCTCAAACATTCTAATTTCTACAAAAATTATTCCATTTTCCACTGCATTTCTACTAAAAGTCCCGTTCCAAGAATTTTCATCAACAATATTATGATTTCCATCCGCATTTCAAATATAAAAATTCAACATCAACACTATCTATTGATATTCTGTGAATCTGTCACATAAAATATTCTAATTTTCCCAAAAATTGCTGCATTTTCGCTGAAGTTCTCCTAAAAATTACTGCAATATAATCAAGTGAAGAAAATTTCCTCAGCCTTTCCAACCAATTCCAGAAACAAATCACTCCCCTCGCCCATTAATCAACAATTCTCTTTGTTTTTCCCTCAGAAAGGCTCATCGATTTGTAATTCCCGAGATTTAACTCAAGAAAAATATCGTCAGATCGAACGACGAGGCAGAGCGCTCTCGGGGGGG